TTGTGTTTGGCGGTCCCTATATGTTGTACTACTAAAAAACGTTGTTCAATGGAAACAGATTTCTCACACGCAGAACAGTACAAAATCTCACCATCACTCTGAAAATGTTCGTTTGGAAATTCTAGTACATAGTTTTTAGCTTTTCCAACTTTGGACACTCGAACTTTCGGCATAATTTAACGCTAACACTAACACGGCCAACTCAAAATTACACGTCTAAATAAACACACGTCCGGTTCGTCGATGTGGGTATACTATATTAATTTATCAAGTCACAGTAAAAATATGTATTTACATATAAATCCTAGCCCTATTAATAACATACTAAACCAAAATATGTAGTTTCAAAAACATAACAGTCTTCAAGCCAAAAAGTATGACTGTTATAATACTAAATCACAAAATGTTTAGTATTCAAATTTAAAAGTGTATTTGTGAAACCTAAATGACATTAGATGACTAGACAAAGTATTATACTATTACTTTAGGTCTCCTATGTTGAATTAGATCATGATCAAACTTGGGTCTCTRTTATTCTGTTATATATAGATTTCTTGTGCTACATTTGCAACATTAGGAATGTTATTGCTTTACATGAAATTCAAACCGAAGCTGGAAGAAAAGCAACAGACAAGTAATGAAAATTAAATACACAAAATGTTATTTATTTTTTTTGTAAATTTTTTCTTTTCAATATATATAGTGGTTTTCATTTTTCAAAATTCTATTTAGAAAAAAAATATATATATATATGTAATAATGAAAATAAAATGATGATAATAATAATAACTGGTATTCTTTTATAATAAATATAATTATTTACTAAAATAATATGGTTTTCAAAATCATTATATTATTATTTACAAAAGCAAATTGAAATGTATTAAAAGTATATGTTTAATATTAAAGTAAAACACGCAAGTTTATAAAAACCTGTTAAAACAAATGTAGTGTCTCCTATCAACTTAAATGCCCCTTAGATAAAAATATAAATCAAGAAGTTATCACAGCTTCTACATGTGTTTTAAGTGGCATTCTGGTGTGCCTACGCTTTTAAAAATTATTATAATTTAAATATATAATTYTACACATATTTTTTTCAATGTAAAATTACTTTTTAAAGTACATTAAGAGAAAATAAAAAAATACTTATATAATTCAATGTTTAAATTAGTCAAATGTTTCTTAATTATTATTATTTACACAATAATGTTCATCTACATTTGGGCATACTTAAAGTAGTTGATAACTAACATGGAAATATTTTTATAATTAAGAAATAAAACAATTATTTACATATTTAAAAATATTTCTCATAGTTTATTATTTGAGAATAGCTAAATATAGAAAAAAAAAATTGTGTAAATGTAAATGCTTATAAAATTAGATGACGTACATTTTTAAGTAAAAAATAAAAATAAAAATTAAGAGTTTTTTCTAAAATTTAAACCACTGACTCTATCTGTTTAATTTCTTGTAATGGTGGTTTATTTGGCGTAGGAGCCGTTTCAATGATAGTAGGGACCTGGTGATGATGATGGTGCGTGTTGTCTTCCTCTTCATCATCTTCTTCATCATCCTCATCAATTGGAGTTAGCGCATCATCATCATCTTGAGGTAGGGCCATCTGTCTCTGGTCCAAATAACGTTTTAACGGAGCTGCCATAAAACTAGTTATTGCAGACAACAGGAAGAATACAGCAGCCATAAAGAATGGCCAGTCATATGATTTTGTGTAGTCATAAACTGCACCAGCTAATGGCGATCCAATAATTGCGGCTGCTCCACGGAATAATATCAAAAGACCAAAGGCATTGGTGAGTTTGTCCAGGCCCAATAGATCCACAAGAATAATGGATGTTAATGATATGTAGCCAGCTAGAACATTATACATTTTTTATTAGATTGTATAATTTGGGCATATATGTTGGTCCATTTATACTCACAGACTGCAATTCCAAAGAAGACTGCCATTATAACATAATGCGTATAGGTGACACAGAAGGGTGTTGCGGCAACAGCAGCAGTACTGATTAATAAACATACATTATTGAGGAACAGCGAATCAACCCAAGGGAAATCAGCAACAAAACCACAAACCACACGTCCAATGGTATTGGTTATACCAATAATAGACAGCAGAAATGATGCTTGATTTGAGTCGATATTTGAACTCTAAAGAATTATCATATAAAAAAATTTAATTTAATAAAAGAAAAATCTTAGCTATGTTAATAACTATGTATTTTTTAATGAACTATCAAAACTCACAGATTCTTTGGCAGCATCTACTAAATAYACAAAAGGTACATAAAGTCCAGCCATACCAAATACATTGCTGATGCCAATTATCATAAATACAGGATCTTTAAGTAAACTTGTGTCCATCATGGAAGACAATACAGAGTTAATAGATTCTGGTAAAAATGGACAACAACCTTCTGCAATAAATAATCGACATTTAAGTAGCGTTCTTTCACTTTACAAGTAGATTATATTAAACAGACCATCTATTTCTTCATCATCATCTTTATCGTTATCGTTATCTTTCATCATGGATTTTGGTAATGACAAAATACTTTGGCGATAGCTAGCGAGTGATTTTTGTGATCGGTATTCGGGCAAATTCAAAACACTACCCGAGTAAAAGATATCTTTTCTAGACATTGGACGCACAGTTTCTTTTCCTCTTATGCTTGTTTTAGATGAAGTATATCCAATGCTGTCGGTATCCACCTATACATTTTAAAAGTAAAAACATTTTAGCTTAATTTTGTTCATGTGTTTAAAACCTATACAGTATAATTTTTATTTCTAAATAATATATATGTCATCCCTCAAGAGAATCAAGCACACAGAAACTGAAATTGGTAGATTCCTAACTCAAGATGTCCATGGAATTATATTCTATCGGCTGATAGTGTATATTATATTATATATAAATAGATAAGTTATTGAAATACTAACATTTGACCACATATCTTCAGCGTTATTATTTTTACTACCAAGTATTGATACATTCGATAATCTTAAATGTATAGATTTACGAATATCTCCATTTGAACTGAGATTAGGTCGAGATACTTTAATTGGTCCCAAAGTAGGTCGATAACGTTCGCTGGCACTTGTTTTTCGAATACGATCGAAAAATGGTACTGAACCATTTTTTGGTAAGCCTTGAACATGAGTAGTAAATGCAGGTTGAGAAGCATTTCTTGGAATGGCCGCCTTCATTTCAGCTAACTCTCCATTTCCATTTGTTTCGCCATTTTGTTCAAGTACTTCTGGTTTTGAGTTTTCTATTTTATTGTCTTTTTTATCAGATTTAAATTCTCCACTTCCAGCATTGCTAGAACTATTGCTAGATCCACTTTGCTCTGGAGCTTTCACTTCTTTAATTGTAGGTAAAACTGCCATGGTTGGTATTGGCGTCATAGGAGATCCGGTGCCACCTACCAATTCATCCAAGTTAAAACTTGAATGAACGCCAGGATCAATGTTTAGTGGTAACTTTTGTCTTTTTTCTAATGACCCATCTTTAAGTTGTACAATGAAATAAGATCCGCCTATAGATCCACGTTCCATTTGCATGCGCTTTTCATCTGCCATTCTTTGGAGTAATGGTTTACAGCCTTCATTTGGATATTCTAGAGGTTTCATTAAAGCACCAAATAACTAAAATAAAAATTTAATATTTAAATGTACATCCAACAGAACAGTATGCAGTTAAATAAAAAAAGAACGATAAATTAATTAAGAAATAACTTACGGCACATGATAGAATCATCCCAGCAAGTATCAAATTTGAGACTTTCCAATCAAAGTTTCTGAGAAGCATTGTGGCAAGGGGCGCAAAAGCAAAGGTACCAAAACCAGAACCACAWACAGCAATACCGGTGGCTAAGGATCGTTTTGTTTCAAAGTAGTAGCCAACACATACTACAGCTGGTAAATAGATTAGGCCAAATCCAATACCTAAAAAAACAACATTATTTCTTAGTTGTGATATATATATATTTAAAGTTTATAGATCCCAATAAGGTAATCTAAGTAAATTTATATAATTTTAAAGACATTTTAAAAAAAC